TACAAGCCGTAATAGGCAAACTTGTGAAATACCATGCAATTCAACTGAACCCTGTAGGCATTTATTTTATTAGTGCTAAGTGATCAAATAATCCTTTGAGAGAACTCCCCCTAAAACCGCTGTGTGATTCATCTCCGAGTTAGAGGAAGCACTTCAACCTAAACGTCGTCGTCGTTTATTTCAGGCGTATTCAGAAGGGCCCATGGCAGCTCTCCTCCAAACCCCCTTGTCTCAGTCCAGCTTGTTCTAAGTTGCAAATAGTGCTGGCTACGCAGGGAGCTGTGTTAAGTGCCCTGCTGTCCACCTCTGTCGAACCTGGCTGTCTCCTCTGGTTTTTGAGTGTCTCATTGAATACTGGAAGTACAAACCATCTGTTCTTTTAAATATAGTGGATTATTCTTATCTGAGCAGCATAGGAGACTGAGACAAACACCCTTCTGATGACAGGGTCCCTCTGACCTGTGTAGTGCAAGAACACAAACTAATTTTCAGGCTTGCTGTGGCATTGATCCAAACATCACCAGAGGTCCTTTCTATCTCTGCAGTCACAACTCTCTTAGACACCAGTATTCCTATGTTGTACTGTGTATTCATAAGCTGAAATAAAACTATTTTTTTTTTTAGCCATGCCAGAGCTTAGTTCTGAAGATACTGAAAATAACTGAATATTCCCTTATTTTCCTTACTTGCCCTTGCCTGAAAGGGAAAGGAAGAAATACAGCCTGTAACTGCAGCAATGGAAAGAGCAAAGGGGAGAGTCTGAGTAGAAGGAGAAGCCGGTGTGCAGTGCACACAAATTTGTGCAGTAGCAACACACACACCATTGAAAATTATCTTTGACCATAGTATAGATTTGAAAATATTTGAATTAAAATTGGAATGAGGGAAACATAGCAAATGAAATCCATCTGTATGAATGTATAACATCAAACAGCTCACAAAGAGTTTCTCTATAAATATTGCCCTTGGACACTCACAGAAGGAAGGGCCACATCTACTTATCAAGAAGCCATGGCACTGAATATGTACAGCATATGCATGGCTTTTATGCGGTGTCCTTTCATGCAAATGTGTTTGTGATATACTTACTTTAAAGGGAAAGTTTTTGGTACCATACATCTGAAGAGCTGTTCTTCTCCAGAATCCAGATTGTTTTATTACCAGCTAAATGTTCTTTAAGCTACCTGTGAATGAGGCCATTGTGACATTTAGCAACTGGTTTGATTGAATGCAGATGTGAACCATATTCCATATGGAGAAGATACAAAAGCAGAGATCGTAGGCTTGTTTCTGATTTGCAAGCAGGAATTTGAATGCAACTACTCGACATTGAGCTACCAAGATAGTTAGAAACAAATTACTCATGTGCTCATCTATGGTGTTGCAAATGTAACATCAGCTGCAGTTTGAGATAGCGTGCTGTCTTCAAACGTCGGGAAAATACGCCAGTGGATATGAAAGTAAAACTCCTGTAAAAATGGGCGGTATCCATTCAGAAACAAGAGGGGGACGAGCATTTCTGTACATTGCTTCCCCAGCAGCTTTCTAGAAGTGCCCCAGGGAACATAACCACTGCTATTCTAGTGTCATTGCAACCTACCTCTGAATATTTCAAGTGCTGTTATCTAGGAAGGCATTTGAAGAAAAATGGGAACATAGATAAATTGCTAATGCCAGTATGTAAGGTTTGTTTTCCAGTGGTTTTTGAGTGTAAAATCTACTGATGCAAAACTGAAATTTCATGCAGCAAAATTAATTTTATTACTGAAATTTTTATTTCTAACCAACAACTTAGGAAGGAAAAAAACATTTGGGGCCAGTTTTGATGTGGCTCTGAGTGGCTCAGTTCTGCGAGGTTGCTCACAGAAACTGTAACTAGCAGGGCTCATTCTCTGCGCTTCTTTGGGTGAAAAGGGAAGTTTTATCCTTTTCTTCTTTGACTGCGGTGCTTGTTTGTTTGCCTTCCATTTGAACTGATTGTTCATCATTGAAAATGTGGTCTCTCCAGGAAGTCCAGCCTGTAAAGTGGAACAGGGACTGAGCTGTCATCCCCGTGAGAGACAGCTATAGTCCCCAAGACAAACATTGATGTTGAGTACTATTACAAGGAAATATTTCTGAACCTGGATTTTCAAGATCTTTTGGTTTCATTCCGTTGTTTGTTTGTTTGTTTGTTGTTGTTTTTCTGTTTTGTTTTGTTTTGTTTGAATGTTTGGTTTTGTTTTTCCCCAGCTTTTCATCCCTATTCAGCTGGGAAGAAAATCTGAATTTTTACCAGCTTTGGTTGCTTGGTTTTCTCAAGTGTCCTTGTCTGTACCTGTTCTGCTCTAACAAGGCTGAGCTGCCAAGAGATACCGAGCTTCGCAGCACTGAGTATTCCTGGGGTGGGGGAGCTTCCCTCCTCCTAGTGTGGTACTGTAGGAGAAGAAAGAAAAAGAGGACTGTGTTTGATCTCAGTTTAGACAAACAATACTCAAGTGATACTCCTACTCGGTTGGGATACTGTTAGGGGACAGAATCAGTGAAAAACCTGATTTCCCAAAATTTTTTCCCAGGTCTGCTGAACTTAAGATTCTGGGAAATACCAGGCTTATACACAGCTAAAAAAAAAAAAAAAAAAAAAAATAGGACGTTTAGTTTGTCTCAGCACCACAGTCCCTCCTTTTGAAAATCTGCTGGGCAGAGGGAGCCACATTGTGAAAGCTTGTGGGGTTACCTGAACTTGCACCTGGGGTAGCTCAGCTAAAATGGCAAAAGTGTTCCACAAAACCACAGTGCAAAATCCATCAGGTAGCATCTAGTCACAGCGCACTGCAGGAAGCTGTGGAGTCATTTCCCCATTCTCTCACTCCTGTATTTTTTACCCTGTTCTCCCTGCTCGCACCCCACCATGTGTGCACGGACCCACTGGTGTTGCACAGGTGGTGCAAAGCTCAAAGTAAGCTCGTTCCAGCAGTGCAGGTCTCTCCTTCTTTTTGTAATTCTCTCAGATCACTTGGAAACTGGGAAGCTATGGTATCATGCGCAGGTAGCACAGCAGTAAACGTGTTCTCATCACAATTTGCACATAAAGTGTGAGTCCCTCGAGGTAACTCATCCCCCTCTTGACAGCTTTAATAAAGGATGATGGATTGTTTCTAAATGACAGTTTAGGAGGATCAGAAATTCCCCCCTGTATTGTTTTGAGCTCTGGTGTACAAGAGCTGTTTTGTGTTCTGTGCAAGTTGTTCTTGCCTGTAAGCGCCGGGGCTCTATTACTCCCCTTCGCTGTGGTGAGAAATGCTTGCTTACCACAGGAATAGATTCCTCCTGCTGTATACTCATCACTTTTTTTTGGAAGAAATGTGGAAAAGCAAAGCCTGGCATGGGTAGGAGGTGGGGAAATGCCAATAGCTGAACATGTTGCTGTTGTCAGGATGCTGCTCTGGGCGGTCCCCCCCATACGGGCTGAACAGAGGAGGAGGGATCAGGTGCTGCGCTGGCTTTCCTCCTGGGTTGCCTCTAAGGGGTGAATACTAGGGGGAGGCATCACCTGAACCCATCTGCGCTGGCTCAGCTCTCCCCAGCCAGCATCCAAAGAAGGCTCCAGAGACCCAGCACTCACCTGCACCCTCTTTTCCTCCTCTTTGCCCTCTTTTATTTTTGAAGGCTACATGTGGCAGCTAATTAGTTCTGGAAGGCAGATCTTCCCTCTTGTTTCTTTTTGGCGTGAGACTTATTTCTCACTGCTTTTGCTTTGTAGCTGCACTTGGCAAAGTTGAGTTTGTTCAGCTGTCCATTCCCTAGCTAATCTTGTGTCTTAAAATAAAAACAAGCAAGTGGACCTTTGGAGAAAGGATGCCACATGACTCTCTCCACATCTTCATGTGGCTAAAACAGCACTGCTCAAAATCATTCCTAGGGTAAGAAACACGTTAAGAAGAAAAGGCTCTTTATTAGGGCCAATTTCTCAGTTGATCATGCTCTGAGGTGACAAAATGAAGCCTAGACAAGAGCCCACATGGCTACACAGCAACAAAATTAGACCTCTTTCACTGTATTTAGGTCACTGTGGAAGCAGTGGGGCTGAGTGCCCTTTGGAGCCCACCACCTTCTGTTAGGATGGAGTCAGCATAATCCAGCTTTTGCAACTTGTACATGAAGCTATCCCTTGATGCAAACACTCCTGACAACATGGGAAGAAGACTTTTGGTATAGATTAGCATCATGCCACATGGTCCCGAAAGAAATTCTCAATCCATACAAACAGGAAAATTTTGAAATGGGAAACAGCACAGACCGGAGTTAAACCAAGGCTAGAACTTGCTCAGGGGTCTAGGATCCAGAGGACAAGAAGCTTTCAGTCATCTGTCAAAGGAGGACTGTCCGAACCTCCTGTTTTCTGAACCTTTACTTCTCTGCCCATGAAATTCTTGCGGGAATGCTTCCAGCAACTAAGAAGCCTTGGATGGATATCAGCTACTTTGTTGGGAAGGAACTATGTAAAACTCACCTGTCCATCCTTTCTCTTCATTATTTCACAGGATGAAGCAATGTTTTTGCTCCCTGCTGGTCCAGAAGCTCCAGGAATATTATTCTTATGTTTTGGTTACCAACACCAGGGTACAAATTTTCAAACAACCTACAAATTTTTAGGTACCTGGTCCATAAAGACAAGATTCCAGGACATACCTATGCATGAAAGTGTGTGTGTGTGTGACTGCAAATGTAATCCAAGGTGTTTTCTTATATAAAAGATCATTAAAAAAAAAAAAAGTTTCCATTATTTATCGGAAAAAGAAGTGACAGATTTTTAAATGGGGTTGTTGTCTCTGAACGTCTTTCAGCAAGCAGACCTCAGTATTAGCCTGCAGTCTTTACAGCCCATGTTTGTCAAGATTTATGATACGCTTATTTCTGGGGAGCAGGTACTTTATTTCCTGGTGGAAATTCTTTATTTATACATATCCCACTGTTTTGATTGCTGCTGTGTTTTATGACTGTGATATTCTCTCCCTTAGGCACAACAGGGATTTACCAGGGAGCCAATGGCCTGACAAATACTGCTGGATTCAGTGCTGTGCATCAGGTATGGCTCAGCATTTATTATTGGTAACCTTGCCACTTATTTTAAGCACCTGGGAGACTGGCAGATCAGAGAGATTACCCTGGTGCTTACATATATTTAAGGAAGGTTCTAGCGTGTGTTTTGCCATGCGCCATTTTGGTCGGCTTGGGTGGCCTGGCGGTTAGTTTCAAGATGTGTGTATCAACACATGCTCCTGGCAGTCTCTGCTGTGGTGCTGCACAGCAGTTCCAGGAGTTTCATCATTTCACTGCCATCTTACAATTTTCAGATATGTTTTCCATCTTACACAGAGAGCTCCCCTTTTAGGATCCTGTCCTCTGCTGTCTTGGCACTGTGTAATAAATAGGAACAAATTGAAAGAGGTGTTGGCAGGTGCTGAATACTCAGCCATCTGAGCCGTCTCTCTGTGCTTCCTTCTTGGAGAGTACACCTGTCTGTGGGCTTCATGCTTCAGATACCTTGAGAAATGTGTGTGTATAAATAAACAGCAAGCATATATGCACAAGACAGATGTTTTTGCAGTAGTAGATGGCTTTTCTTGATTGGACCAAACAAATGCATACACTGTCCAGAAAATGTTTTTTGGTTAGCTGTGGAGCAATAATTTCAATCACTAGACAGCAAGGTACTTGTTCTGACTCATATTTGTAATGACAACAGTGAGCAATTTTGTTATTACTTCAGTTTTGGCTACAAACATGGTCAATAAACACTAAGAGAAGTACATTTGATTGAAGTATAGAGGTTACCTGCAAAAAAGAAAAATAAGCGGGATGTTTTCATCATTTTATGATGTTCTTTAAGAGAAAACAATGAATTTCTCTCATTTCATTTTCAGCTTAAATTTTATTTTGACAATTTGAGTCATCTTTGTTCTTGAGAGCTCCATGGTGACTGAGAGTTAATGAAATAGCTGTGTCATAGACAAAGATGTAAGCAGTTAAGAAGGAAAGGGCTTTTAGTCTTTCTAAAGGCTATTATTTAATTTTATTTTATAATAAAATAAATGATGGTAATTAATGTTTCTGAGGAAACAAAAACCATTGAAAGACAGTATAGTTCTGTATCTGAAAAAGCAAACCAGGTGGACAAGAACAAGGGCTGCAATTAAAAACAAAAGAAACATTTTTTTTATGTTTTAGTTATCCAGAGAGAAGTTTTCTAATGTATTTCAATGTCATCCTGCTTCTTACAAAAAACAGATGGGCAGAGCATTACAAAGTTTATTTTGGACCTTTTAAAACAAGACAAAGATCATGATACCTCAGCTCTGAGATCTCTCACACCTCATATTTTTAGTTCATTTTTTCTACAGACAGGGAAGATTATTCCAACATTTAGTTCTTACTGAGGCAGTGGGACAATCTCAAGTGTGAGCATTTCTGCAAAACAATTGTTAGATTGTTTTTTTGATTTTTGTATCCTATTTGAACAGCTTATCAGAAAATGTTGCTGATCATGAGAAAATGCAGCCTACTTCACTCCTTCACTAGAATTGTTGAACCCTATAATGCAAAATGTGTCAGCGCTGATTAATAAAATCCCATAGAAAAAGCAGAACTTGCCTGATTTCTGACCTCTTGTTGAGGCCAGCTAGTTCTAATAAAGTAGGAATGTATTTGGGAGGAGGAGAAATTTCATAAGTGAATGAAATGTGTTTCTTTAGCAAAAGTATTCCTGAGCCATGACTTGCTGCATGTGTAGATAAGACTGCCTTGCTGTATGTGGTGCCTTATTTATTTATAACACCAGTGGTACACAGAAATTACATGTTTCTTTTTTCCTCAAAGGAATATTCATCATACCCAAGCTTTCCTCAAAGCCAGTACTCACAGTATTACAGCTCCTCCTACAACTCTCCCTACATGTCCACAAACAGCATCAGCCCTTCAGCCATCCCAACCTCCACTTATTCACTGCAGGAGTCTTCTCACAATATCACCAGCCAGAGCACAGAATCACTGTCTGGTAGGTGCATTTCTTCTGTTCTTAGTTTTGCAGTTCCAGCCATCTGTAGACATAAGCACTGTAACCTTGTTGTTGGAATTTAGTTAAATACATGCATTTACCTGGATAAATGAGATTTCCTAGCACATAACAGTTCTGCTCACACAGTACAACACAGAATTTTGGGAAGAGACTAGAAAATATAAGTTCTGTAAGACTATCCTGTGGTGTTTCCATGAGCATGCCTGGTTTGATCTCCTCTTAAGGTAGAAAATAATTACATGCAAAATCCAGATTAGTAAGAAGTGCTAATGTGTTTAGCAATGAGTGGCATGCTCTGAAAAAGCCCCAGAGTGCACTTATTAGCGCACATCTCCAGCAAGGTTCGTGTTCACTCTGAATAACAAAGTGTAATATATGCATTCATAAATAAGTTCATTAAGAGGAAGTCTCTTTAAAAAAAAAAAAAAATCAACATAAACTGTTTGTCTAAGTTAAAAGTTCAGGATGAATTCCATGCAAAAAGTCTTCAGAATTTGTGGCCTCTCTTTGAGCGCTTAATTTTTAAAGTCTTGAGGCTTAAATGGTTTATGGAATTATTGACGGATTATGATCCTCCAATGTACTGTTCAAGTACAGTCTTCAGATATCGCTTCCCTACTAAAGTTTTCATTGGCATGCAATAACATTTACATAAAATGCCACATAATTTGAGGATGATCACAGTATACGCCCATTGTAGGTCTGCTGACTTATGGAACAAATCTGAACATCTGTGGTTGCTCTGAAAGAAAAATAAACTAATATTGGTTGTTAAAAAGAAGCGGTCACAGATTGCTCTGAAAGCAGTTGGAGGATTTTCTGTTCTTAGATCTTATCTCAGCCTTTTTGAGAAAGCGTGGCTTCAAAAAAGGCTTGTTAGGCACAATCCAAGCTGCTCTGAAGAAGAATATGGTTATTATAGGAAGTTGGAGGGGCCACAGCTTAGCAAGGTGAAAAGAAAAATATGTTTGAAAAGGATTTGTAATGTAAGGTAAGTGAAATCTGGACAGGTTTATGAAACTCCAGCCAATCAAAACAGATACTTTATACAGGGAAGTTTTACCTGTCTCTTCTCAGTTATTTCTAATCTACTGTCCCTTGTGAAATGGAATACAGCTAAACAGGCTAGTTATGTATTTTAAAAATAAAAGTTGATGTTGAAAGTATCTTTTTAATCATGAGTATTCATCGAGTTAAGAAAACATCATTTTTGCAGATGTTGAATTGATCCTCGTTTCCTTTTCCACTTTCTAATTTCTCTCTTGGAAAAGGAGGAGAGAGGGGTAAAACTCAAAAAGTTGCATTGTTTTTGTTTGTTTTTAATTTAAAAATGTGTTAAGGTTCTCGAAGTGACACATCCACTTTAAAATGTTTTATAGAAAGTCTTGGTGCTTTCTGAAACTGTTGCAACTAATCTTAGAAGTTATAAATCGTTTCTCTAACAATGTCAGCTATTGACATAAAAAGAGATTTTCTGATAGCATTTTCATAATGTTTCTGGTGCTCTCCACTAAAAGCTTTCCTGCTTTTATTATAATGATCGGTGCAAAAATTAAGCTTATAATGGAATTCTTTTTTTCAAAACAGGGGAATATGCAACAACACCAGCAAAAGATATAGAAACAGACAGACATCACAGAGGTTCGGATGGCAAGGTACGAGCCCGGTCAAAAAGAAGCAACGATCCTTCTCCTACTGCTGACAGTGAGATTGAGGTAATGACATTAACTTACGTAAATCCAGCAAAGAGAAGTGATTGCATCTATTAGCAAAACCGACTATCAAATGAGTGAGTTGTAAGAGCCAGAGTAAAATCAGTAATATAACTGAAGCCTTTTAAATTGGGTAGTCAGAATAATCACACAGTTTCTGTATTATTAGCATCTCAGACTGTTTTTCATATGTACGTCTTTTTACTTTGTGCTTCTTGTAAGTCTGCTGTTTTGTTCCCCCAACTTGACACACAACAGGTGATGTCTGTGATTGTTAGGAGAGCAGACTCTCAAGGCAATCAGAACGCACGTAGTTCCAGAATTCTTCATCTTTCATTTTGCATGCTTTCACAAAGCATCTGCAGTCAGTGCTCTAAATGGGCTTGAGATCTTAAAAAGCTCTAGTCCAACAGGACATATCTCCTGAATGAACAAATTCTTGCATTTGCGTAATGTGTAACTGTATTTCTCTTTTCCACCCCATCTGTCATCACAGCGTGTATTTGTGTGGGATTTGGATGAGACGATAATTATTTTTCACTCCTTACTCACGGGAACCTTTGCATCCAGATATGGGAAGGTAAAACTTAATTTTTTTAACATTACTGCTTGCCCAGCCAAATTGCATTGGGAACTGTGGGGGCAGCTAATAAGACAGCTTTTCAAACAGATGCTGCTGATTTTATTCAGACACATTTGTATAAATATGTCCTGTGGTATTTCCTTCTAATGTGAAAATTTAATTTACCTCTCTTTCATGTTGCAAGTAGCCCCATGTTTTTCTAAAGCTTGTATTGTTGGCTGCTGCTAGATAGGACATCAGGATGTTCTTTGAATGTCTGTCTTCTGCGAGAAAAGAGCCTAGCCAGAGAGCAGTAACTCTGGCCTGAATGAGGTAACATTTTTTAATTTTTTGTTAGAATGCTGTTTTCTTTTGAATCTCAGACAACTTTTTTTGTTGTTGTTGCTGGTTTGTTTGTTTGTTTGTTTTTTAGGAGAAGTTTTGTGTTAGTCAGTCTAGGTTGCCACAAAGACTACTGGCTCTTATTCCCATATAGCTGCGGTGGAATACATTTTTGAGAGTTTTAGGAATCAGATCTTCAGCTACCCGTGCATCAGATACCCCCTTTGAAACACTGGCAGTTGTATTTTAGGCAACTCTCTGTGGCTGAACAGACACAACTTGGCTGCTAAGGAGAAAATGCTGGGTCTTGGATTTAGTACCACGTGCTTCAATTTCTTCCTAAGGCAGCTTTTTATGATAAACACTTAAGTCACTTTGAATTACACAATGTCAAACACTTTTAAACGGGTAGGAAAAAAGACAATATCATTACCTAATTAAAGTGGATGACCTAGTTGGCAGCTGTTTCCACACATGGCTTTGAACAGTCAACTTCATCAGGAGACTGGAAAACAACCCTGCTTCTCTCTAGAAAGCAGAAATATGATTTGACATCATTTCATGGCTTTAGCAGCTGTACTTGTTTTACGACACTTATAACAAGCTGAATGTGTAATTAGTAAGATAGATTTATTGTTTGCTGTTAGATGTGCACAGTTGTAAAGGATATAAAATGGTGTTTGTGGTGTGGAAGTCTACTGCAGCATTTGGAATGCTGCTAACACTTCCAGCAGCACCCTCTGAAAACCAAGCATGTGTTTCCAAGCAGGGATTTATTCAGACCCATGTTGCACAAGGTAATTGAAGTGGTTACTTTTCCCAGGGAACGGAATGAATAAGGCAGTCTGAGGTATACATGTGTAAGCTCAAACCTACTGCCTGCAAAAAATAGAAAGAGCTAGGCAGGATCAGGAAATATAAACTGAGCTGGTGTAGACCTGCGATGTGGTCATACTTAGGATTGAGTAGGGGCTGCAAATGGCATATGGAGAATTCCCTTAACTGTGTGGGGGGATATTTTGGCCCAGCATAAAAGCTCCGAAGCAGTTCCCTTCATCTGCTGCCTCCTGTCCAAGTTCAGGGGACATGGGGTCAGGATCTGCTACATGGGGGACATATGGTGATGGGCCAAGAGCTGTGACAGACTTGCTGAGGTGAGGAGCCCTGCCATCACAGTGACTGCGAGCTATTGCTGATGGGCTGCCATGGAGGCAAAAGCTGCCATTTCTGTAGCAGAAATCATCGTGGGGATGAAGCGATGGCAGGGAGTTAGCCAGAGAGGATTTATCCAAAGCCTTCTCCAGCAGCTGAACTGTTCTCATCAGCTCTGAGAGCAAAGTTAGGCCAAGGCAGGGCACTTGTGAGCAGCAGTCTACGGAGAGAAGAGCACAGAAAAATGGAAACTCAGGGGATTGTCTGCTCTGAAAGGACTCTAAAGCTAGAAAATGACAAACTTCCGTTGACTGTTTCCTTTATACAAATGTAAAGAGTGGTATGAGCAGGGATTTTGTGTTTTGTTTTTAGTGAATGAATCACCTTTTCTGTTAAGCTACAACAGGCTCTTTGAGAACCTTCAGTAGAAGGATTTTTTTTTAGTTCTTCATTTGCTTCATCAGTTTTAAATTCCTCAGAGCTTTTCTATAAGGTAATGGTTGTGTTATAAAAGTATTATAGGCTAACAGCTTGATCCAAAGACAACCAGAGGCTTCAGTGGGCTTTGGAACAGACCATAAACCAAGAGGGAAATAGAGCACACTCAGGCAGGCTGTCCTGGGAACCATTAAATAGTAACACAATTCAGAAAAGTGAGTTGAACTATCAAATATAAACGAAGCAGTGAGCCAAAGGTTAATAGTATTTCAGAGTCTCTTACTTTGTGAAAAACATAGGAAGCGTTAATCTCAAAGTAAATTAAGTATCAGGGCCTAAAATTATTATGTTTATATATAATTGATCATAAAAGATTTACATGCCGGTGATTAGACATGCACGTGCCCTGAATTAAATCTCACACATGAAGGTCTTGGTTCTGTCTTCCTCCAGAAAGTGTGCCATTTTGTACGATATTCACCGTTCCCTGAGCAACATTCCTGTCCCAGTATTGTCCTGTTGGTTGTGCTGGTAGAGCTGCTGTGCAGCCACCCAGAAAACTGGACTATGAAGCCACTTAAGCTGAAAAATAACACCTTTTTCTGGGGTGACTTTTCCTGGGATAGGAGGGAACGGGAAGGAGGAATATCAACCTAGCTTCAGAGACTGGGGACTAAACTCCTGTGTAGTTTAGCTACAAAATCACAGTGCTTATGCATATTGTTCTTTTCTTGGTGGTGGTGGCAGCAGGGAGCTGTCCAAAACAATCTGACTTTGGATAGAAAAAAGAAAAAGGAAGAAAAAGGTGTAAAAAAAAAAAGAAGAAAAAGGTGTGGGGAAGAATTCAAAAAAGTATTACCAGTTAGAGTCATTACATGACTCTTGGACATTAATGATTAGTGCTCCAATGCATGCATTCTGACCTGATTTCATGTGAAAATTCTCTGTATGTCTGGTATAAAACTCATCTGAGGGAAACCTGTGTGATCCTTGCCATAGATATGGGTTCCTCAGTGCATGAGCAGTTGGTCTCGGGTGTTTGGAAAATACTTTACTCACAGCATTAATAGAAGTTAAAGCACAGAAATTACTCAAGCTTGAAATACGAATGAATGGCCCAGTCTGTGTTGCTCCTCTAATCCCCTCTGTCAAACTCTGCGCACTGTCCCGTGTATTAGTCACCAGACATGGGGTCTTAATGTCTTTCCCATATGGTCCCTGCAGTACAGCCTTTACAGTGGCAGCCAGAGTGGCCTACGGATTCACATCTCCTTTTGCTTTCTTGCCCGTGGTTGAATGGATGCATACCTGCACAAACACACGGAGTCACGGTCTAAATGGCTGGGGCAGCAAAGCTGTCAAACCTGAGGAAATCTCTCCACCCCCTCATTTCTTAGGAGGAGACTACCTGAGAAAGAAAAGAGGGGAAAAAAAAAAAAGTTCTATAGCCAATTAACTCTGGATATTATGTTCAGGAGTTTTTAGAAACCTGTTCTGCAGGCTTCTGATCACTGCATGGGTACAGAATATTTACCAAGTGCTTAGAGACCACACCAGACATAAGCCATCATTATAGCTTAATGTGCTGATCACCAAGCCCTTTCAATCCCTTCAGACATGTATAATAGAGCTCCCATTCAGCAGGAAGGTGGCTGCAGCCTTCACTGTGTCTGCCGAGATCTGCCTGACAAATCACTAATGAAATACAATGGGAAAAATGGATCAAAATCTATTACAGTGCTGTTGGGATTTCACGTGAATTGAGTACATGTCAAGGGGCCTCAGCCATTTGAGGCAGCAAGGCACAACACAGAAAGACTCTTTTAGTAGTATTAGTTCAGACACAATAAAAAGAGATTATGAGCATTTCTGTGCCAAAAAAACAGAACACATGAGTCTATTCCTCTTTCCTTGACTTGAGATATTTGCAAGCTTGTTCCATAATCTGTTAAAGCATTAAGTATTTCTGCATCTCTTTCATAGAAATGTAAGTATTATGTTGCAGATTCATTCTCTTACTTTTCAGAGGACTAGTATCAAGAAGAAAGGGTGCACCAAGTGCATTGTTTTCCCTAGATGAAGGGTATGTGTGAGGCTAATTCCTTTTCTCATGATTTTGTCCAGAATGTGAGTTTTTTGTTCTGTGTTGAGATACTCCTTAGTAAAACACGTCCACGGGATTTTAGTGTCAAAAATGAAATGCAATTGAACTAAAATCTAGAATTAAAATTAATCATTCCATGCATGAGTTACTCTGAAATCCTGGAACTAAATGGAACAAATCCAGAGGACAGTCTAAATACCTGAATTGTGTTGGATCTTTATCAGCACTTTGATGTCTGCTGATACTTGGGAGTTAAGATTCATAAAATTCCCTGTAAGATGCATTTTATTTTACATTTCAGAAGTGGCAACATTAGATTTCTCCAAGTTGTAAGCAGCCAGGTACCAGTGTGGTGGACACGGGGCACGCACTGATGTTATGAGGGACTTGCAGTGCCACAGGTGTGCTTGGGAGTAGGAGAGCATCCTCCAGCAGTAGTGGGGCCTTAAGACCTTCTGGACAAAGTAACTAAAATCACTGCTTGGCCCAGCTGAGGAGAGGACCTGAAAACAATTTTCTGCCATTTTGGATGAACGTCAGAGCTTCTGTTGGTTGTCTGAACTGGGCTGTCTTGTTCTCACCAGAAATGTTGATGTAGATCTAAGATCCCTCAGAAGTTCCACTGGCAGTTACATGTTCTTACAAAAAGCTTTCCTTTAAGTGAATTATCATTACCAATTAAAATGTAAAAAATAAAGTCCTTAAAAAGTTCTTGCGTGGCCCTACTTGGGGTCCTTTTAAAAGCACAGAGTTGATTTTTTTCTTTTTTTCCCTGCTTTCATTGAATGCTTTGAGTAGCTTGTGCTTTCCCTTGCGTTGTTCCCTCACAGGACCCTAAAGCCAGGACCTGATTGAAACACCATAGGGATTTAATCAAATCTGATGGTGATTCATGCTTCTAATGGCCAAAACTGTCCTTAACTACTTTACAAACTGAGGAAGAATAAAACCCCATTTTATTGCTCGGCTGTTAAAAACTATC